CGCCAGCAGCCGCCACTAGCGGATGGGGCACCCTGCCACGACACAACATGCACAAGCGATTTCAAACAAGTAATCAACAACCATCACCGGTTCGAGCCTTTGCTTGATGGATGCGCGCCCCCGGTCACTGCAAGGCACTCACGATTGCTGCGCCCATGTGGTACCCGCCAGCAGCAGTATCGAGAGGTAAGATAGCATGGTGCCGGTCTGTGCTAAGGCGAGCAGACCATGCCCGCGGGACACCAGCCAGGTGGTGAGCCCAGACGGAACGCCCCCAGACCACCAGCTCAAGAACTACAGTGACGTCCGTGAAGAAATAAAAGTAAAGGTGAACTAGATTGGCTCTTTTGTCGACCCCTGAGAGTCCCGCAGAGGGGGGCTGCCTGATTAGAAGCTCGCGCACGAAGGAACGCAGTATCCGGGTGACTAATTAGCTGAGGGATTCCTTGGGCATAAGTATATCGAGTATGTTACAGCACGCCAGGTGGACGGGGCGTTTAGCGCACATCCCTGCAATTTTGATCATTTGAGCGCGCTTCTTCTGATGTTCTCAGTCCTTCACAGCGTGCAAAAATGAGAGCAGGTGGCCACCGATGCCTGCTGAATGGATCACCATGGAAACTTTTGCCAATTTTACAGAACATTTGTGCGTGTCTCGGTTGTGCGGGACTGAGAACCACCAAACTCCTCGACACGTCGGACGCCGGCTGTGGGCCTTTCGGTTGCTCACACCAACGGCAAGAGTGCGCCTGTCGGCACACCCTGCCCTACAATAACGCTTCCATCGCTTCTTGGTACTGATGCGCCTGCTTTCTGTGGAGCTTCACCACTCGTCTATGCAACAGAGCCAGGGCCCCAATCCACTGCACTGGGAACAAACAAACGACCCCTCACCAGCCCACTGTATGTGCGCGTGCGGCAAGGGATGCCCCGTTGAGTTTGACTCCAACCCTTACGTTTTGGCAAGTGAGATTCCGTGTGCATGCAGCAACATGCGACATGTATGACTGCTCTGCTGCTGGACATGCTGCTGTGTGCAACGAGCAGATACTCCTCTCCACAACAGCACACAGCTTGAAAGACGGAGAGCCGTGTGCTTGCGTGCCAACTTGTCATGACTAGGTCAACACAGCAGCCAAGTTGAGACCAATGGTCTGTTTACGCAGTCCTGCAGCATCCCGGCTGTTTGTGGGGGTAGTGTCCCTTGGAAACAGCAAGAAGCGCCAGCTGCTCCAACGGGCGCAAGATTGGGTTGCCCCTGTGAATGCACACCGCAGAGGGTTGCCTGAGAGGTTTCTGTGGTGCCTCTGGCAGTGCATGTCTGCATCGCTTCCAGCCACAGGAAGCCGACGGCCTGCCCCATCAACGTATTACACATGCCAGAACACAACAAATAGTACATTTTGCTGTTCCGATTTCTTGCAATCCAATGTTCAGCAGGGAACGGGCCTAGGGATGGGTGGTGCTCATCAGGGCGAACTGGCTGCATACATGCTGTGCCGTGTGCCTTGTCGAGTGCCTTCCGCACTCACTCCAAAGTGGACCTTGCCTGCCGATAACAATATCACAACCTGCATATTGACTGTGAAATCAATTGGGGGGGTTGCACGTTTGCAAAACCTCGGGGTCGGACAGGTACATGAGCAAGACAAGATTGATGCGTGTGTCAATGGTGCCACTGCATGCGTGCAGATGTCACACAAAAGTGAGCCCAGCAGTCAAATGATTCTGAGCTGACCGCAAACACGCTGCCGCGGGCGGCCTTGTTTGTGTGAGCCCCTGCACCAATCCCCTGCAGGGGATTGGTGCAGTTGGCTAGCTCACGTGCCGGCCCATCGCAGTGGGTGGGTTCAAGTGGGCTGCGGTACCGGTCCGGCATTCCACACAGCAGGCGTTCAAAACCTGCGGATAGTGCTGTACATGTAAGCCGTGACTGACCACAAAGGCATGGGTGGGGGCGTCGCATCGCAACTCCTTTGAGTGAGAGGCCTTCGGAAAGTACAAGTGGCGAGAGGCCTGCTCCACTGCCAGGCAGGATCGTGCTGCAACACGCCCTCGTGATCTTTTGTACTATCGGCTGTGCATGATCCTCACTTTGAATCACACAAATGGTATGTTGCGGCTCGAATGCTGGCAGTGAGGGCAAGGTACTGTAGGGCCACACCTCTCAGGAGAGCGTTACAACAGTCACTTCCGTGGGAAGCAGGGCATGTACCCATTTAAATCAGAAGTGCAAGCGGGTTGATTTGCTGCACTATTGCGGCACGTTGGCTTGGCTCTGTTGTGGCGTAAGGACCGAAGTAGTGCCATTGCTACCAACGTTTGTCACCTGGCCGCCCTTCTCACACTCTTGCTGCATCACTCTGCGAACTCGGTGCAGCCACACTATTGTCGGCCACGGCGAGCCCCATGTAAGGATAACTTTTTTGTGGGCCACCACACATAATATGCCTGCTGCCAGAGCACGCATCGCGTTTAGGCATAGTCGCTGTTGACGACTGGACCCCCAAGCTGGGAACTGCGGCAGCAGGTAATAATTGAAGTGATTGCAAGTGCGCTTAATTGGTGTCTCGGCGCGTGTATTACCGTGGATCGGCATCCCACTCGTGCCCTCGCATTTTCGAGTGCCCCGCCAGACCTTGCCCTGTCTTCTCTGAAAACTAGGACACCACACATGTATCCGCAGGCCTAAAGCCCGCCAACGGCTTCGTCACCGTCCTGGCCATGACTGCAACCAGAAAGCGGCCGCGAGTGCCACTTGGCCGGCCACGTCGCACGCTGTACACTGCGGCGCCTGCGCTACTCCTCGTTGTGCTCGCGCTCGTGTCTGCGGCCACCGCCCAGCCGTGCGCGCCGCCGTACGACGGCAACAGAACATTCGACCTGCGAATCGCGCCAGGCGAAGTGGCCTCATTCCCTGGCGGCCTTGACATCCCGTCTGGCCAGCGTGCTCTTGTGGAGGGGGAGGCGTCTGTCACCGGAGGCGTCACCATCCGCGGCACGCTCTTCCTCTCTTCGTCTGCGTCGTCCAAGATCTCCGCTGAGTGGATTGCGGTTGCCGCCGGCGGCGCGCTGATTGCAGGCTCTGAAGCGTGCCCCATCCCTGGAGGCGTCACCGCAACCATCCTGCTGCGGGACGGCGCCTCACACCCCGTCGCCGGGCGCAAGGCGCTTGCCGTGCTAGCGAACGGCGCGCTCGAGCTGCATGGTTCAAAGGGCCTCGGCGCGCCGTGGGTACGCCTTGCAGAGACAGCGGCCGCGGGGGCGGCGTCGCTCGTCCTGGACGCGCCGTCACTGTCCTCCTGGTCACCCGGTGATGAGATCGCGGTCGCATCAACGGACTTCGATGCTTACCAGACTGAGCGCGTGCGGATAACGGCGGTACAAGGGTCCCGGGTGCAGCTGGCCGTGCCGCTCAGGTACAAGCACTTCGGGGCGGTGACTAAGGGCGTCGACCAACGTGCAGAGGTGTGTACGAGGTTGACCGGATGGGGGGGGGGTTGCGCGTGCCTGGGGTGGGTGTTGTTGAGCTCAGGAGGGTTCCTGGCATTTGTGTGAGACCTCCAAAGCGAAGTCCCCAGGGCGTGCAGGCCACCTGCTGTGCTGCTGACACTGCAGGCGTGACCAGCTGCCTCCACGCAGTGGCATGCAAGCGTGGGCGCAACCCCTTAGGTGCCCTCTAGTGTAGTCGCCCCTTACTGGACAGAGTTCCGCGTCACTGATCCCACACCTCCTTGCAGGTGGCCCTGCTGACGCGCAGCGTCCGCATCGTCAGCGCCCAGGACACCCCTGGCCTTGGCTGCCACACCATCTTCTACGAGGGCTTCACAGGTGCGAGGGGGGTGATTGTATTGTGACACACATCCAGGAGGAGGGCATGATCCGTGAAATGTCACGAGGGCAGATACTGCATGGTTGCTTGCCAAACAACGCTGCCGAGCGACAGTGCTGCTCGCATGAACTGGCGACAGGCCTGCCCGCAGGCAATCACAAGCAACGGTTACGTGCACCAGTGCCCCCTGCTTGGCCGGGGCTGCACGCTGGTGGGACCTGATGCCACGCGTGCACAGCACACCGCCACTCCATCTCATCCAAAAGGATTCCCATCCTCGCGCATCATCGCCCCTCGCAGCCGTTCACGTTGAGGGCGTCGAGTTTGACGGCTGCGGCCAGGCCGACCTCGTGGGGCGCTACCCGATACACTTCCACATGGCTGGCCAGGTGCCTGCCGGCACCTACGTGCGTGCGTCATCCGTGCACGACTCCCTGTTCCGCGCAATTACGCTGCACGGCACCCAGGGCGTCCTGCTGGAGGGCAACTCGGCGTTTGATATCGCTGGGCACGCTTATTTCCTGGAAGATGGCGCAGAGTGGGGCAACACGCTGAGGGGCAACCTCGGGATGCTCGGTGAGGCGCAGGGGGGGGTGGAGGGCGCGTCATGGATCATTTAGGCCTTGCTTGGCGATGGGTGTGAGGCGCTGGTTCGGGGTGCATGAGGGCGGTGGTGGTGCGACGCACCAGGGTGTGTCGCTGGGTGCATTGGGTGCTGTTGGGCTGTGGGGTTGTGGGGCTGTCAGGAGCTGGATATTCCTAGAGGAGGCAGCTGATGACAGTGTTCGTGTTGATTATCACTTATTCCACCCACCCCCCAGGTGGGGCAAGTGGCGACCTCATCCCAGCTGTCATCAGCCCCAGACCCTCAAACCCCGCCCTGCCAAACCCTTGCCTGACTTTGCAGTGCGCCCCAAGATTACTGGGGCCCGCCTTGGCTCCGATGCCATTGGGGCAAACGGGGACCTAAGTGTCTTCTGGATTACAAACCCCAACAACACATTTGAGTCCAACTCCGCCGCAGCTACGGAGGGCTGGGGCTTCTTCATCCACACACGCCTGGGCCCGCGCGGACTCAGCAAGGCGCGCTGGCCCTCCGTGCGGCCGCACCAGACGCCGCTTGCCCGCTTTGCCGGGAACATGGCGCACAGTGTGCGGATGTGCCTTGAGATGGAAGCCGATGCAGTTGATGCGGGGGACAGCCCAGTCATCAGCCCAGACTCCTTGCCAGCCAATTGGCAGCCCAAAAACCCCGACGGCACATGGGCGGAGACGCTCATTTCTGGGTTCACGTGCCACCACGCGTTCTCCGCGGGACTGTGGAGCCGCATGGGGCTGATGCGTCTGGTGGACACCAGATGGGCAGACTGCCCTGAAGCGCTGCAGTTTGCGACGAGCGGCGACCACGTCGCTGTTCCTGGGGTCAGCTACCTCACCAACGCGCTGTAGGTCGCAGCGCCTGGTTTGGGTTTGTACGCTCCTTACTTGGCCAGTCTCGCTCTGGCCCCAAAGCTGCTTGATCAAGCTGGATGTGATGCAGCAGGTACAGTAGCCTGCAATTAGTATTAGGCCATCCAAAAAGCATTGTGTTTGCTCTGGCACCCCCTGCACCCTCCGGTATCACGCAGCATTGTCGGGTACTCCGAAAACACCGGCGACCCAAATGGCAGCCCCAACCTGCAGCGCTGGGACCCTGCCCTTGGGCGCTCCAAGCCGCGGATTCAAGATGAGAGTGGCATCACCATAGGGTTCAAGCTCTATGACGGGGCCACCATCATTGATGGGCTGACGGCGCGTGGGTTCCCGTCCGGCACGGCCCCCCTTGCGGTGAGAGTGTGTGTGTGTGTGTGTGTGTGTGTGTGTGTGTGTGTGTGTGTGTGTGTGTGTGTGTGTGTGTGTGCTGGAGGAAGAGAGACAGAGACAGAGACAGAGAGTGTGCGTTGTGCGTGCGTGCGTGTGTGTGCGTGTGTGCATGTGTGTGCGTGCACTCCTTTTAACTCTGCCCGTTTGCGTACCACCTTCCAGCCGGCGGGGGCCAGGCCGCCCCATGCAGCGGCTTGCTGCGCGCTCGGCGTCTGGTGGACGTTGGTGCAACACGGTTGCTTTTGAGTGTACGCACAATCAAACTGAGCCCACGACAGACAAAATTGGACAGCAACACGCGACAGCAAGGAGCTTCTTCCACCCTCCACTACGTGCTGCGAGCATGCAGGTGCGCAGCTCCAACAGTTTCCAGATGACGGCGTTCACCTCCATCAGGGGCTTCATGCCCGAGGGCTCCTCCTACCGCTTCGTTGTTCAGGTGGGGGCTGGGGCTCTGGATTGCTGCCGCGGGTGGGGGCTGGGGCTCTGGATTGCTGCCGGGGGGCCCCACACCCTGAACCACTGACCGCGGGCCTTCCACACAACGGACATGTCTGAGCAAGGGGTCTTGGCCAGTTGGCCAGCCCGGTTGCTCCCTTGGGGTAGATGTGGCAGCTGCTGACAACAGCTTTTCCAGCCTTGTGTTGTCTGCTGCATTTCGTATATGTGAGCAGATGGCGCCGCAGCATTGAAGTGTGTGCGCTGCAAAACGCATCCAACCAGGGGTCACAGCCTGCACAGTGTCCTCCTGAGAGGACCCTCAGAAATCACACATCATGTTCAACACATCAGCGCCCCTGGCCAATGCCAATCATTCCGCTCAACTGCAGGACTCCACTGGAGACGGCGGCCGCACCACGTCCATCCGCGACATCGACGGGTCCGTTTCTGGCTACCCCGGAGCCACCCTGCTGCCCCACCAGCCTGGCATCACACTCGGCTTCTACTCTGCACCCGGCTGTGCCGCGCACCCAGCCTACGGCCTGGCCTGCCCCCAGCAGTACATGAACCTCGAGATGGGCTTCTGGGATTGGGCGGTCGGGGGATCCCCGGCTGCTGTGGCCCTCTCTCGTGCCAACCTGTCGCCGGGCAATGTCGGCCCCGCAGGGCTCGCTGCTCAGAGGCTGCCGGGGCTGCAGGGTCGCGAGCTGGGGCCAAAGGCGGGGCGGGGTGGGCGCTACGTGAATGCGCTGGCGGCGGATAAGGGCAGCTACCTGGTGGCCTGGGGCGGTTCCGGTGAGGAAACGTGTGTGTGAGTTGGGGTGTGTGCTGGGGTTGAGAGGTGCCTAACCGGTAAGTAACCACCGCAACGCAGAGCTAGACAATCACTTTTAACAAGGACGTTGTAGTACAACGTCCATGTGCATGGTGCGCACGCCCATTCCGTTGCGGTGCGCCTTGCCTGTTGTGTTAATGGTTTGGTCTGGCCTGGCGTGGCTATCGACGCGCAGCTGGCCTGCGAATCGCGTTTGCAAGCGCAGGTTTCCGCGCAAACATACAGCCATATTCACATTCATGCTCCCTCCTGCCTCAACAGGTGCCGGCACACCCACCAAGGCTTTTGTGCAGTGCTCCGGCTGTCAGCCAGGGCAAGAAGTGGAGGTGGTGCTGTGCTACCCCGCCAACACCCCCATCGCCGCTACCGGCGTCACACGCGGTGCAGTAGAATTCATCACGGCCACTCAAGAAGCAGCCAGCGAGTTGGCGCCCGGATTTGCTTCCCTCGCAACGATGCGCGCCGCCGTTAATCAAGGGACCCGCTTCTATTACTCACAGGCGGCTGGCCTGCTGTTTGTGCGGGTCCAACAGGCGGCAGGCTGGGGCGGCGCACCGCCTGCTGGCTACTGCCCGCCAGGGGGCTGCTCATGGGCGGTCATTACAGCATCCGCAGCAGCGGCGGCGCCAGCGGTAGGCGATTGCGAGGCGCGGCTGGCTGCAGAGCCCGGCGGCGCGCCTGACAACCCGGCCACAGATCCTTTCCTTTCGGCTGTGTTGGCGGCCCCTAAGTTTGACCTTGCTGCTGCGTGCCCGGGTGTGCCAGCGCTGCCAATGTGCGACTGCTACGGCTGGGTGGGCTGCAGCAACAGGGCGTGCACTTCCACGGAGCGTATGGCTTGTGACGCGAGGTGGGCCATGTGCACTCATAGCGGTTGAAAGCGGCACAGCCTCTCTGCCGTGTATCGAGATGATGTGCTGCACAAGCTTGATCACTGATCGATTGCTGCCGGCACCATGCCTGCGCATTGGTCCGAAATGGCGCACCGTCACACCTCCCTAATCTCCTCCAACATACATCTGACACACACAACCTCACAGTTTTGGGACGGTTTCATCAATTCCATCACCGTCTCCGAGCCCGAGCCCCTCACCCAGTCCAAGCCCCTCACCCAGTCCAAGCCCCTCACCCAGTCCAAGCCCCTC